ACTGACAAATAACATTTGTTCCAGCCGCATATTGCCTCATGATAAACCAGTTCTGAGATGCGGAGCTTCACATACTACGCTTTAACTACGTATCATTATCAACAACATAGGACCAACCAATACTACATAACGGTCCAGGTTGACACCTCATATCAGCACATCAGGTAACAAAGCAGTAATATGGAAGATAAAGAAATGGAGAAGAATCGGTTAAAAATAGTAAGTGAGAGGAAGGAGGAGTAAGAAAATCTTGAATTCACTTTGACGGTTGATGTGTAGATAGTGGGTGGATGCATCTGCACCACAGAAATCGATCTTGATCCATATCACCTAGAGTCTCCAACCACTGGTTACTGCTGTCGCGTCGACTCCAACCGGCTAGTATGCATTCATGATACATGGCTCAGATCAACATTGAAAGACCTCAGGGACTGATGTCATGTTTTAGTCTGGCTACGTCTAACTCTTTTCCAGTCTGAATTTACTTCAGCTAACATTGTGACATTAGGCAGGCGGTGAATAGGCATACGTAACACATGTTGCAGCCACCTTGGTCGGTGAAGGTTCACAAGTGCATCAACTGACTTTTCTCTCCTCTCTAAAACTCTACACCTGACTTCTGTATTACCGACATCGTGACAGTTCGGTACACGGCCTGTGCTACAGTGGCAACGGCGGTCGAACACTGGAAGCCTTTTCATGTCCTCTACCTTAAACGGCCATGCTTCACAACCGTGTACTAGAGCAGAGCAAACTGAAGCGCAGTGAACCTGACCCTTGATAGGTAGTGAGAAATCAAGGTGACGCTATAAATGGTGTAAGTTGACAAAAGCCAGACGAGCCTTTTGTATCCATGCAGAGATTTTGTCGACCACTGACCCACAACGGCTGACCCCGTTTCCCACACTCAAACATTTCATTTCCTATTGTTAGACAGAGCACCATTGAAGACCAGTCGTGGTGAGACAGTTTGCATCCAAGTGGCGAGGAGCGTCAGAAGACTTTACATCTTCTTGGCATCACCTAACAAGACTATGCCATCTGTATATGTTAGATCAATCAAGGATTCGAAACATACTATTACCACTGAACAACGTGAGTAGTTAGAAACCATTGAGGTTGATCTGTAGTATTTCGCCAGTCAGATCAGAGTGATCTCAACACGGGACGTCTATTTCGCTTGTTTAGGGCCGAACTCATAATCAGTGAACCTGGATAATTTCAAATCGCAGAGCCGAATTAGTTCAGATCACCTGAATCTGGCTAATTGACTTGTATGGACCGGTATACCTGAAATAGAATATAAAATTTAAAAATGATTCACGAATTGTACAGTCCATGGGTGCACTGCTGATAAGCTCAACACCAAAACTAGCGAAACGGCCATCCGGTGTTTAGATCACCCCGATCTGGATGGCGAAATGCTACAGATCAGCCTGAGTGGTTCCCAACTAGTCAAATTGTTCAGAAACAGTATCTTTGATTGTTTCATGACACTTTTGTGTCAGAGATCAAATTTTGTGATCTCGACTGAGTGGTTTCCAGCGGGAATCCTGTTCACTGTTCATTGAAAAACTACTCAGCTGCAAGGAATGTCAACGAGACCCGTGCATTTTGTCAATCATCCGAAAATTGTTCACTCTGTCAAGGATTCTCCTGTAATTACATCAATCCCTTTAAAGACACAACTCACCTGACAACTCATCATAGGTCCCAACGTGCCCAGGAGTGTTCGAATACATTGCCTTTCACAGAGTGGTGTACTTATGCGGTATCCCTTTTCAGTTAGATACATTACCGTGACACATCTCAATCAACGGAGTCGAACGCCGCCTTAAGATGCAGAAATATAGCCAGCTTCAGTGTACCTGTGTTCCAGAACCTAATGCGTACAACTATCCCCGGTATATATCTGACGTAGACCATTGGGTGATTGTGCTGTTGTCATGCACTTGAATCTCTGTTACTTTCTCTTAGAGTCTTCATGAGTCTACTAAGATGACAATACCACTGATAAACTTTCAGGAAAGTGGGTGTTAAGTGTCAGTGGAGAATCCTACTCTAAAATTCTTCATTATAACCTCTAATTCCTTTATCGACCTCATGCAACATGCCGAAAGATTCACAATGGAAAGCTCAGTGATGCCTTTGAAGTGAAAACAGGAGTAAGACAAGACAAGGTTGCACACTATCACCAATCATCTTCCTGATTGTGGTCGACAAGACACAACTCGACTCAACTGGATCATGCAACAAACAACTAAGGGGAGCGAGAACATCGGTATACGCTGTTTGACCGATGAAAAGATCCTAGAACACTTGAATTTCAACAATCATGATGATTTATGTCTAATGTCTTATGTCACACAAACTCGAAGATGTACACATGAAAACTAAAAAGTTGGCAGAAAGGGCACGACACTGAAGACGAAACTTCCTTCAGATGAACGTGAAGAAGAAGAAGAGAGAGGTGAAGACACCCAACAACAACAACCACCACCACAACAACAACAAGCACCAATCACCATGAATAGGAGAAATCTGAAGGAAGTTGTCTCTTACACCTACCTATCTACATACCTAGGCAGCATCGTTTCAACTACAGGCCACGGTGGTGGCGGCACAGATGAGGACATCAAACCCACGATCACACAGACACCATGACAGGCCTTCATCAATCTGTGGAGATCAGTGTGAAGATCTATTGCACTGCACTCACCATAAAGAATAGGATCCGAAATTTCAACACTAATTCAGTCAAGTCAGTGCCTCTGTGTGATGATGGTTGAGAGATTTGGCACGTTACGAAAAACATTCCCAACAAACTACAGACATAAATTAACAACTGCCACCCATGCTCACTTCATACTGAATATCAGATAGCCAGAAAGAATAAACAACGAGCAACTCTAGTCTGGCAACGAACCAACCAACGAAGCAAGAAGCTATCGTCCAACAAACATGGAGAGGAGAGTGAAGATAGATCGGGCATACACTGAGGAGATCAATTGGTGATATCACATGTGAGGCCAGGCGGTCGAGTGGAATCGAGATGGGAAACGACGAGTTGGGCATCTGAGGTGAGGGTGATATGGAGGAGATCGTGTGAGGAAGAGAGGAAAGGTTATGGTGAGTGGTGGAGAGAGATTGAAAAGACTGCAGAGAACAGAGTGAAATGGTGACGTGCCACTGAAGCCCTATGTTCCAGTAGTCACCCAAGGGAGATATAATAATATAATAGTAATAGGGTTAATTTTCACTTGAACGTTTTTTTTAACATTAAGTGGTCATCATTGGAATTGTATTCTCACTTGAAATTAATGACCAAAGTTTTGTTAGTTTCTTTCTCTCAACTTTTGAATATACCATTTGGGATGTAGTCAAAATCTAACTTTTTATAATAAGCTTAATCACGAGTTAAAATGGTTGATTTGATATCATTTATAAACATAATAATCGGATTTTTAATCGTTTGATTATAATTATTTTAAAGTTCCTTTTCTTCCCTTGAGTTCAGTTGTTTAAATATGTTGAAGTTTTTCATTGTGAAACTCTACGTAAGTTCATGGTTACTAGCGTATGCATAGACAAAGCTGTTTTGTGTAAACGAGGCAGCTTGCTAATCGAGACTGATAGAATGTTATGTTTACCTTTAAAACGTTTTGTTTTGAGAGGAAATCCATAAATACCATGTTATAAATTAATATTAATTACAATTGTTGTTATGATACTTCCTATCTGGTTTCATAAACATTGCTGAGTAGAGAAAGTTTGTAGCTTGTGATATATATATAGGCAGAAATTCAGATTTTTAAGTCACCAATGAAGGTAGGTAGATTCTCTGATATATCATTTCTTATAATTGTGCATTAACTCTAGCTATCTGCCTACGCTGATCGATAATGAAGATCAGATGGCCAGAATAAGCAACAAAGAACTCTGGGAATGAACCAACCAAGAACCTATCACCTAACAAATATTCTGAAGAAAGTGGAGATGGATTGGATTGAACTTTCACTGAGATAACTATTCGGAGACATCACGCGCGAAGCCCTCAAGTGGAATCCAAATGGAAAACGATGAGTTGGGAGTCCGAGGTGAGGGTGACGTGGAGGAGATGATGTGAGGAAGAAATGAAAGCTTGTGGGCAGTCGTGGAGCTAGGTTCAAAAGACTGCAGAGAACAGAGTGAAATGGCTACGTGCCACTGAAGCCCTATGTTCCACTAGAAACCCAAGGGAAAAATAATATAATAATAATCTGCCTACGCTACTGAGTACCAATCGAAACTTGATTGTTAGAAGTTTGACTGATAGTTCTTGTCTTATACTGCACGTTGAAACCATACTTATTTCCTACTTATTATTGATGCAATGTTATTGTTTATCTAGATTTTATCTAAACGAATAAACATCTTGAGGTTTTGCGCATTTATCTATCGATTTCAACTTGATATTCATCACGAACTGACATGACTTGGAGAACTACTGGGAACTCGTAAACACTGAACAGTATTTTCGTCCTAGTATGGAAGTCCTCAGCAGTGCGTACCCATGACTTCGCCACCGATTGAACCCACCAAATCGGACATGAGGAAGGTTACTCAACGATGACAGTGGCTGGAGGTTGCGCTATGTCGTGAACTGACAGGAGTAGGAAATGTGGATGATTGGATGTCGACCCAGTAGCTTAATGGTGATCTACTAGCCTCAGAACTTGTTAGTCCCGAGTTCGGCCCCTAGTGAGATGATTACTGCACACTCCTGAGAAGTTCTATACTAGGATGAAACAGTTGTCCAGTGTTTTTCAGGTTTTCAGTGGTTCTTCAACTAATATCAGTCTGTGATGAATATCAACTTGAAATCAATAAACATTTGTTTTGTTTTTAACTGAACTATCGTGTTATATTTTCATATGTTTTTTCTTTCCTGTTGTACGCATTTATTTCACATCAATGGAAATTGAACAACTTTGGATCCACACACACACACATACATGTAGCACATTCCAAATCAAGTGATTAAACATATCCTAATTGAGTGTTATGACAATCGACCAGTTACAGTACTACGTGATACAAGTGAAATTCTACCTCCATCTAAAGGTGAGGAATTACTGCGTATTGTTCATGAATATGGACTGTCGATGCCAACACCGCCATCGTCATCCATAGCAACATGTGAAAATTCTAGTTGCACCATTGTAAGCAGTAATGATAGTTTACCGATCAATGAAAAATCTAGTGCCTCAAATGAAGTTATTAATCAGAGTACTACGGTAATTACTTCGTTATCTACAGTCCCTAACAGTATTGCCTCTTCTACTGGTACTTCGTCAACACTTTCCATTACTACTATTGGTAGTAGTAGTACACAGGTTATTACTAGTGTATCTAGTAGTATGAAATCGAATAATAATAATAATAATATGGGTGCTTCTTCTCCAGCAGTTGTAACCATTTCTTCCAGTTAGTTGTATTTCTGTGAACTTCGATTATCCAGTACACAAATATAAATACATACAAATGTGATTGTATTTTATGCTGCTTCAAGTTCTCAATAGCTGTATGTTTAACAACAGCATATATCATCTTATTTCAAGTAAATTCTCGTCTCTCTGAAAGTCTTTTCATTCATAAATAGAATCATCTTTTTAACTGTTGAGAATCCGTTCATAATCTGTAAGTTTTTTTTCCCAATATTTTTCATTGGTTTTACTTGTGTTTCGATTTTACTTTTGTTCTTTGATAAAACTGTGACCTTTTCACTTGTGACAAATAGGAATCTATTATACTGTCTTATTTCTAGAAACTTGTAGAGTTCTGATATGATAAGTTTGTCTCTCAAAATTACTAAACTGCGGACGAACAGAGAGATAGTATAGAACTGCGGGAGTTCAAATTACCACACTTCAAAGCACCATACGAAGAATGTTTGAATAGAAAAAGTTATATAAGGTAGACAAATATGTTTTATAACAGATAGCATAAATGGTTGAATGTTAAAATATGATTTTGACCCATTTCATTCCTTTTTATCGACTTGCCGGGCACCTTACACCTACTCACATGACGCAGACCAATAGTCAAAGAATTAATGAAATGGTACCATGTCGTAGTCTGGTCACCCCAGCCTTATTTTAAACCAATCCTACTTCGAATAATATCACATGTCAAGGGAGGCGGTGACTCGACATGTGCAAAAATTGTCCAACATACTTCAGTCAGTAGAGGTTTACAACCTCATCATAAACTAATATTGTAAGTCTCGCCTGGCCTGGACATTTTTTATATTATCTTATCAATATTAATATACGACTAGGCATTCCTGCTTGACGTTCCAAGTTCCCACACCTCATATCAGCACATCAAGGAACAAGGCAATAAAATGGAAGATGAAGAAAAATCAGTCAAAGGAAGTAAAATTAGAAAGTAGTAAAAGAGAAGGAGGAAGAATGAGAAAAAAACATCTTCCACATTGTAATTCCACCGCATACGAGCAATTATACAAACTTGTAGCCTGCGGCCTTATGCTTTCAACGACCATGTTTCAAAGCAGCAAAATAAGACAGTGCAGTTTACTCGTTGGATAGTTAGTAGTCGAACACCTAGCTAGTCGGCACCACAGATAATGTCAGTTGGCAAACGCTGAACGGGTCTTTTGTATCTGAATTTAGATTTCGTCAGCAACCAGCCCATTCGGTTCGATGCGACGTCGTGAGTAGGTAAAATGATTGACTTCACTTCTCATCCTTAAAGTATAAGTTTGTGGAGACCAGTCTTGAAGTGTAATCCTACATTCAACAGGTGCAAAACTATGCAGTGACACAATTGTGTTAAAGAAATCAACAAGTGGAATACCATTGGGACTAACTGGAAGGCATAACATGACGGAATGAAGAACATGTGGAATATTCGAGATTTATTGCGAAACAAATAGTAAGTGGAACAGGAAATGTATACCTTTTCAGTAATATCATACGAACTTTTCAATCAGCATTTAGTGGCAATCGTCTAGACGAAATCTTAAGCTTATCGGGTACATCAAATGCTACGTACATGTGTTTTGTTTGCCGAAGTGGGATTGCGCAGGAAAAAGGGTAAGAGTGACCAGTCTGATATTTGGCACCAGTCCACAGTCTATTGTTAATCTGAAACGTGTACTGAGATGTAAACTCCTTGATTGGAGTCCTTGAGGTAATAGGAGTCGAGACCTTCACTGACATGGCTCAAAATTCATTACACTGCCACATATTAGCGTCTATCATTACCTTTTTATTTTTATCCTTTGGGTTCTTGTTGGAGCATAGGGCTTCAGTGGCACGTCACCATTTCACTCTGTTCTCTGCAGTCTTTTCAATCTCTCTCCACCACCCACCATAACCTTTCCTCTCTTCCTCACACAATCTCCTCCATATCACCCTCGCCTCAGATGCCCAACTCGTCGTTTCCCATCTCGATTCCACTCGACCGCCTGGCCTCACATGTGATATCCCCAATTGATCTCCTCAGTGTATGCCCGATCTATCTTCATTCTCCTCTGCATATTTGTTGGACGATAGCTTCTTGCTTCGTTGGTTGGTTCGTTGCCAGACTAGAGTTGCTCGTTGTTTATTCTTTCTGGCTATCTGATATTCAGTATGAAGTGAGCATGGGTGGCAGTTGTTAATTTATGTCTGTAGTTTGTTGGGAATGTTTTTCGTAACGTGCCAAATCTCTCAACCATCATCACACAGAGGCACTGACTTGACTGAATTAGTGTTGAAATTTCGGATCCTATTCTTTATGGTGAGTGCAGTGCAATAGATCTTCACACTGATCTCCACAGATTGATGAAGGCCTGTCATGGTGTCTGTGTGATCGTGGGTTTGATGTCCTCATCTGTGCCGCCACCACCGTGGCCTGTAGTTGAAACGATGCTGCCTAGGTATGTAGATAGGTAGGTGTAAGAGACAACTTCCTTCAGATTTCTCCTATTCATGGTGATTGGTGCTTGTTGTTGTTGTGGTGGTGGTTGTTGTTGTTGGGTGTCTTCACCTCTCTCTTCTTCTTCTTCACGTTCATCTGAAGGAAGTTTCGTCTTCAGTGTCGTGCCCTTTCTGCCAACTTTTTAGTTTTCATGTGTACATCTTCGAGTTTGTGTGACATAAGACATTAGACATAAATCATCATGATTGTTGAAATTCAAGTGTTCTAGGATCTTTTCATCGGTCAAACAGCGTATACCGATGTTCTCGCTCCCCTTAGTTGTTTGTTGCATGATCCAGTTGAGTCGAGTTGTGTCTTGTCGACCACAATCAGGAAGATGATTGGTGATAGTGTGCAACCTTGTCTTGTCTTACTCCTGTTTTCACTTCAAAGGCATCACTGAGCTTTCCATTGTGAATCACTTGCGTGTGGCGGCATCACGTAGCCGTTGAATGGAGTTGATAATGGTTTGTGGTACTAAAAGTGTTTTTTGTTGAATTAGTTGCCAAATTACTTCTCGTTCGACGCTTTAATGCAAGTCCTTTTCAAAGTGGATGAAGTTAAGGTTGAGTTGAGTTGACTGGCATTCTGTGCTCTGTGCGCATAGTGACAAGGGAGTTTTCTAACGTATTAGCATTTTCGGTTGGTTTTTTTCAGTTCTCTCTCTACCAAGGTTCTGTATATTTTGATATAAGTCTTCATTATCAAAATCCTCTCTCTTCTCATATCAATCTTTCTATACCCACTTGTTTTTTGCTTGTTGCTGTGATGTACATCATTTTGAAACGATGCACTTGTGTATGACGTTCTACACTAGTTTATCTTTTTGTGTTTTGTTGGTTATCCTCCAGGTTTGTCTTTGAGTTGAATTGTCTTTTTATCATAATATCTGTTTTATGTTGAAATCGGTTTTCTGAAGTAATCATAATAAATGATACAGTGTTAGAAACCGATCAATAACTTTATACAATGTACGCAAAGATGCCTAACTGCATGATATGAATAAACTGCCTACTGTATACGACACTCTTTCACCGGTACAGTAACGTACTGGACCAATAACTTCGACGTGTAGTAAGAAGAATTACAGACAACCTGAAAGGATAGATTGCATTGATGCAGCAATAGTATGATCACTTTAAGATATGTACTTAACGGGATCTGTCTTATTGTTCACAGTCTTGTAGAGCTTTTCTGTTGATGGACTGATCATTAGAATTGACACTGACACATTGTGTGACAATACTTCAATAACTGTCAGTCAATTAAAATAGAAATCAAACAACCTTCTCATGTGATTAATAACCTAATTCTAAACAGAATACAACTAACCGATGACAAATATGTCCATATTACTATGCTATACAACACATCTACATTTCATGACATTGTGAATGGTTTTCTGAACGTTAGTAATTCAAATAAGGCTAAAACCTGTTAACTACTAGTACGCATTTAAGTGACTAGACGAAGTAACTACATCTCCATACCACACTGATTTTATACCACATGATCTCACACAGATCGAAATAAACGGAATGCAGTAAACTATTTCAGTCATAAGCTAATATATATAGTAAAAGAAGGAAATATACACATATCCTTTTCATAAATACTGTCCTACTTATATGCCATCATCGTTTTTTTTTCTGGTTATTTTAAAAATTATTCTAATGAAGTATAACTGAAAGCATAATAGACAGTTGAGCTTGTTTCTACTGCCACATGATGTATAAGTTAGGTAGGTAGGTAGGTAGGTATGTGTTATAATAACGTTTATGTTAATTAATGGAATCCAGTTGAATTTTCTTTTGTTTCACAGGAGACAGTTGCGAAATGAATTACACTTCCAACTATTACGCAAACATAGAATTTTTGATCATTTGCATACGTCTTTTCCTTAACATTTACCTGCTGATATCATTTTCGCCAAACAAATGTTAATCGTTTTATACAGTCATTAGGTGCGATATTGACATTTTCCGACTTACACCATTTCTGGTACTGGCCATATATATCCGGCCACCTATCCAAAGACAATGATGATTTCCTATTGTACCAGTGTGAAGTATTCTTATTGAAGGAAGCAGATATGAAGAGTATACAAGCTTCCGGTCATATATTTCTTTGTACTGTTTATCGTGTACAACATGATTGTCTAAATCTTTCGAAAAAAATTCTCAGATCCCTGAAGCTTTTCATAGCCAGTCACTATGCTTTACAGTTTCAAGAAAATACACGATCATTAATGTAGATATGGGGTTAATTGAAAAGAAAAAATCATTAGGAATTTTAGTTGTAGAAAGACAAGAATAACCAAACCGTTCTAAATATATATAAGCCTTTGTATTCTCTACATACTTTTACATTGTAGTATACCTTCAATTGTCTAATCGCCTTTTCTATTTTTTAAGGGATTCAGTGACTACCAAAGGTGGAATCTGAAAGTCAATGTTCAAGTATCCATGTGTATATAATCTTGTTATGTTAGTAAGTGAGTAACGTT